GCAGAACCATCCATTTCTGGAGTTTATGGATGTTGGCCTAGTAATTAGAAAAAGAGAATGCTTGTTGACCCACAGAAATCCTACTTGTAAAAGAACATCACAGTGATTGTTACAAAGGTTATTTTGCATTTAATTAGTCAGTAAAAGAGTACAGGAAGATCATTTCAATCTTGCAAATATTTAATCAGTTCATTTCAACACTATTTCCTTAAAAGTAACTAAGGATAAAATAGGCATATTTTTACTGAGATACTAAGTCCCTGAGCTAATTACCATATAATGAATGAGCTTGGGATATTTGAAAAAAAGACGTGGAAGTGTTTTCATTCAAAGAGAGTTCCAGAACCTTGGTAGAAGGAACACAGTTTCTGGCTCTAAGTCACTGGCATGTGGGTAGTGATTTTAAAAGAAATCAATTCAGGCCAGTGAGTAACTTCCACTGGTTTTGATAAATAAGACTAAACTGGACACTTGATTCTTAGGCATATTGAAAACAAAACTATCGCCCTGCAGTTGATGTTCTATTTTGGGAAGATATTTGATTACTAATGACTTTATTAGGAGTTCACCTGAGATCCAGTTAGAACTGACTATGCTTCAAAAAGCCTTATTTGCACATCTTTTTTAATAGGAGATGATGTAACATTCTTTGTTATTTCAGCTTTTAAAGTAAAGGATCTAAAAAGAAGATAATTATTTTACATGCTTGTCACATCTTCCTCTCAGTATATTCACTAAACTAGAACTTGACATCAAACTTCCCCAACCTTCTTATACAGTGGCCTAAAGATAATTGTTTCAAAATACAGGAAGTGAAATAAGTTTTCATGGTTATTTATTGCTCGTTCATTATTTCACTGGCTTGGTCATTTGATTCATATTTCTTTAACACTTACTAGTGATTCAGGGAGTGTTCTAGGACAGAAAATGGAGCAGCAAATAAGGCAAATTCCATTTCTATTCTCTTGGAGCTTCAGTCTAATTGAGAACACAGGTGGGAAGTTATTTTTGCACAAAAATATGTCAATTGTGTGCAGCATGATGAAGTATGAGACTCACATTTTGGTGCCTGGCAAATCTGTAAATATATCCTGCCTACCAATGACTGCATTTCAGCTAAATATGTATTACAATACTCTGATGGTTAGTTTTGGGGTGTCAGCTTGATTGGACTAAGAAACACCTTGAACTCTGATAAAGCATTAGTCTGGGTATGTCTAATATGGGTATGTCTAATATGGGTAATATGGGTATATGGGGCCAGCTGGTGGGATAGTGGTTGGATTCCATGTGGCTGACTGTAGTTCAAGTCCCTGACTTAGTGGCTTGAGAAGCAATCCAAGTGTGTGTATATGCATGCCCAAATCCCGAAAGGAGCGGAAAATGGGGGAGAAGAAATTGCTATGTAACCATCCCCACTGAGAGAACTTCTCTCTGTCTCTGTCTTTGTCTCTGTCTTTTTTTCTCTCTCTGGTGAGCACACATATCCTCTGGCAAATTAAAATATGAATGGATATATTACTCTTTGTGCAGTGTTCCAGAGAAGATTCATGTGTGAGTCTGAGTAAACTCGCTGGAGAAGAGCTGCCCTCAACATGGGCAGCACACTCAAATCAATAAGGGGCCCAGATGGAACAAGTAAGATGGTGGACTGTTCTCTTGGTAGAGAGCAGGGGAGATTTCCTCTGTGGACTTCAACATCAGAACACAAGGCTGGCCTGACTTTGGATGATAGGACTTGCACAAGTGGTCCCCTGGGTTCTCAGGCTTTTATCCTCACACTGTGAGTTACATCTTCAGTCTCCCTGCCTCTGCGGCCTTACACTTAGACTGAGCCACACTACCAGCACCTCAGGGTCCCCAGCCTATTACAAGACTTCTCAGCCACCATAATCCCATGAGTCACTTTCCCTGAGAAATCCTCTCTCATGTATATGGGCATACTGTATTGGTTCTGTGTTCCTAGAGAACCCCAATACTATAGATAATTCTTCTGAAGAAAAAGTGTAATAACGCATGAGAAAAGCATGACAATTAATAGATAGAGAAACAATTCCCTTTCCTCCCTTATTAGCATTCCTTCTCCCTATTTCCCATTAATATAAAATTGGATAACGAAATTTGGCTGTGAAAAACCCTTTTCCTCTGTTAAATCTAAGAAGTTATTTAATAAAAAAAAATTCACTCAAAAGCAAAAGCTAAAATCATTTTCAAAGTTAATGAAGACGTTATCTATATTGAAAATAAATGAATATTGAATTTTGTTATCAAGTTCTTCATCTATTCTCAATGTTCATCCAATTTCCTCACAATAGAAAGCACTTAAAAAAGAGAATAACGTTTTCATTGCCTTAGGGACAACCAGATTTTATATTCAAAACAATGAACCCATGAAAGCAAAGAATAAAGTACATATGCTCTGAACTATTTCCTCATAGGTATAAGAAAACCAATTATATAGAATTAAAATTATTTAGGCTTATGCAATCAATATAAATTTGAACAAAGCTAATGTAGTTGAGGCAATTACAAGTAAGTTAATAAGAATAGCAAATGTTTGTTTTTTGCTTACTAGGGTTGTTGAGTAAAACAAAATATTAATCTTCATTGGAAGCCTTCATACATATTGAAAATGTTCTAGGGTTTTCTTTTAACTATACTTTTAAGACATTAAGTAGAAGACTTAGTCTTGTAGTTGACATTACATAATGATAACCCTACTCCTTATATTTCTTCAGATAGTGATGATGCTTAGTTAAACCCTGGATGTAGACTTAACTCTGTGCATTTGAGTTTATTACAGTTTATTTTCATATGACCTTCCTTGGAAGAAGGTTGAGGATTTTGCTTATAACCTAAAACTTCCAACAGAGAAGAAAACCTGTTTCTTTTCTTCTTGAGATATAAAGAAATAAAACAGACGCGAAAACTTCAGAATAACACCACTTTGGAGCAGGAAGGGGACTGAAACAAAAACAAAAAATCTTAAACCAATTCCTTTATCATACCGATGAGAAAACCCAAGAGATTTAAATTCCTATTTCAAGTCAGCTTAGAATTAGGACCACATCTTAGTCTGTGACCCAGATGCTGGGGTGGATCTGAAGATGTGGCATGCCTGTGTATGGGTAGGGTGGGGCAGTGGTGGGGTAGAATGGCCACACACGTGTTTACAGTCTTGTGTTTTCTCTATTTCTCTGGCATTGAATGCAAATGAGACATACAAATGCCTGAATTACTGACAGAAGGAAATTTTTTAAAGAGTTATTTAATTTCACTTATCATTAGTATTAATATATTTTAATTTATTATAGAGCATATATGCTCACTAGAAAGAGAGAGAAAAAAAAGTGAAAAAGCAAGCTGCCAGGTCCAGGACTCAAACTGCAATTGGTCATATGGGAATCCGGCACCTTAACCACCATGCTACCTGACAGCCTTCAGGAGAGAGAATTTTACTATTTATCTCAAAGTGGTTTTTGAATCTGTGTTTTAGGATTTTCACATATGTTTCTAGTAGTCCATAAAAACTTTTAAATTTCTTACACTGTATCTTTTTAACTATTTTAAAAATGACTAAAGGAATAAGTCACATGAAGAGCTGAAAGTGTTATATACCAAAGTATAACACACTAGAGACCTTCAACACATAAATCTTGCTGCTAAATTTACTTGCTTTTCTTCAGGCCTTGGAATAAAACAAAGGTCACAAAGTCAGTGACAACAGGGAGGAGACTGAAGGCAAGGAGGACTTAGATGAACTAGAGAGGGCAGATCATCTAATCCAGGCAGCTGAGTGTTACCTGCAGAAATACAGGGCCAGGATGGCCTGGTCTAAGTTCCTTCAAGTACAGAGAACTCTGTGTCTTTATAAAATTATGGAAACAAAACAACACAAATAACCAGTTAAGGACCCAGCTATCAATCGACTTCATTATCCTGCTCTAATTAACTGTGTTTATTAACTACAAGTAAGGGCCAGCTGGTGGTGTGGTGATTAAGGTGACTGGATCCTACACAGTGGACTACACGGTTCTAGTCCTAGACCTGAAGGCTTGAAAAACATCCTGGGTGCATGTGCATGAATGCTCGAAATCCCAAAAGGAGAAAGAAATTGGAAGAGAGTGGACTGTACCATGACCATTCTCTATGGGAAGGGCTTTTACACTTTCCCTCTCTCTCTCTAAATGTTCCTTAACCTGGGTATCTAAAACTGAAAGCCAAGGTTCAGAAATTGCCCTTCAGCTTTCACTTCAATTTTGTCCAAACCAATGCTTTACATATGAGAGGATGAATTTCTGAGAAGCCAAACACAGACCACACATGAGATTCTACAAAAAACCTGCCATGTATTGTCAAGGAGCTGACTCCCAAATTGAAAATTGATTCCAAGTTTATATTCACCTAAACATATCTGAAATCCACCTTGGTTTAATTCAATTTCTTAACACATTCGAGTATCAAATCTCATTTTCCAAAAGATCAAGACATTGCCACATTTCAAAAGAAGAGAAAAACAGCCAGGGATGATTAACCTTTACTCTATAGCAAAGAACACACCTCGCAAAAAAACAACTAGATTTCTAGTCCACAGATGAGAAAGCGCTGTGAAGAACGCCAGAAAGAGCGTGACCTTTCATTCCCAGCAGCGCTAGGTGGCAGGGGAGAGTCGGATCTGCGACCAGGCCCGGCAGCTCTGGCTGACACTGAGGCCTGCACACTCGCCCTGTCCTCTCTGATGTCAAAGAGAAGGCTGCAGGCCAGGCCGAGTTCCAAAGGGCAACTCTTTTATAAGGGGAAAATGGCTGTGAGCCAAATGCAACTCTTCCGCCTTTAATAGCAGCGATTTTGACTGGTGGGTTTTAGCCCACATTGAAGGGGTCTCCATGGACAGCCACTCTGAAGTCTGGCAGATCACATGTCAAAATATAACCTCGAATCAAGAAGAGAAACACGCTGGGGGTCAGTTGAGGACCCCCCAGTTACTTACAGATGCGGAGTCTCCGGAGGAAGAGCTGGAATGACGCCGGTCTTTCCGGAGCACTGGCGGGCTGGAAGAGAATTCAGCTGAAACTGCCCCACAGCTTGAGGCACACGTGCGTGTGCGCGGCGCACACGTGCAGGCGGGCTACGCACAGGGGCGGACTGGCGGTGCACACGTGCGGGCGGCGCACACGTGCAGGCGGGCTGTGCACACGTGCGGGCAGGCGGCGCACAGGTACGATGTGTGTTTGGGTGCCATTTGCTCCATCACCTTATGTTGTTCGCAAACCTCGATGAAGAAGAGGTTTTTAGGATTTAGGTTATGGAATCCACTCAACCTCTCTAAGCCTCATTTTCTGTTTCAAAAATGAGGATAATAACAATACCTAATTAGAGAGTCCTTATGAAGAGAAAAGGAGATAGGGGTCCATAAAAAGTGTTTTCAGTAGTGCTTCATCAAGGTACCCGATGCATGGTAGCCATTGTTGCTACCATCATCAAATAAGACAAGGGATAGGAAGGTTTTAGGAAATTAAGAACAGCATTGTCATGGTCATTTCTGTTGCTACTATTATTATCACCTTCCTCATACCCTGTATGCTTCGGCCAAACCAACTGACGTGTTTTCACAAACACACCCGGGAAGTTCCTCCCCTCTCTTCGGTATCTAGTAGTGTTCTCAGCTTCCTGTTAGTGAATCAGATAAAGAGGAGTCTGAAATCTGCCCCTGCAACTTACCAGCTATGTCCATTTTGGGCAGTTGTTTTCATCTTTCTGAGCCTCCATTTCAGCACCTGAAAAATGAGAGTAATAGGACTTTTCTCCATAGATTACTTCTAAGAATGAGATGGCATACTGTCCAGTGCAGGAAAGGAGTTCACCAAATGTCCCTATTTCA